TATTACTTTACTTATTACTAATAAGACGAAAAGTAATACAAAGTAATAAGTAAAATGATGAAAAATTATTACATAAAGAAGTAATAAGTAATAAAACAACAAGATTTATTACCTTTTTACCGGTAATAAGTAACAAACGTTTATTACTTTTACCAGGTAATGTAATAATTAGTAAAAGTAAAGTGGCACCCCTAATGGTGATGTTAATGAGGTTGATTGTGGTACATTTGTAATGTGCTGTGCCAAATCTGCTTCAAGAAAGACTAAACAATAAGAAATAATGAAAGTTGTGGTCACGTTAAAATATGCGCGCGATCGACAAAGACTATTTGACCACTCAAGATTTTTCACTCATGAGTCTACGTTAATGTTTAAACGTTAACTTTTATGTATGGAATCGACTTTGGTAAGGTCAAATGCGTGTGCGGATTCAGTTCTTGCATGTGTGTAAGCTGATGCTGGAAAAACGATATGATCTGTTTCTAAAGATTTGACCAGATGCATCAGCATCTGGTGGATCCAAAGCCAAGAAACCACCCAGTAAATGAAGTATATCAACTATACAATAGTTGTTAATGCAATCCAGACAACTGCTTCTGCTAACAAATCGAAAATCTTTGGAGAACTTCTTGAGGCGAAAGGAAGTCGAGCGTAAAGTGGTATCTCCCGATCCACTTAACTTCATACTATTTTCACAATGAAGGATGCAATGTTATCAGCTTAAACGCATCTACTGCATCGTACTTGCACATCAAACTACCTTTTCCACGTGAATGAATAAGCTGAGTAGCATCGTCAGTCGTTACATATTTCAATGAACATCCTTCTTTTTCTGGTAGTTCATTCAAGCTCTTGTTTTCTGTATCCTCATGAGGAGCACAGCACTTAAATCAACTATCAATCGGTATTTTTTAGAATATTTTCCTTCAACAAGCCCTAGTGGGTTTATTCTATATATCTCTCAGGGCGGTACTTCAAACGGACCGAGAACTTAACCTTTCGAAATTTCTTCTTCTAATAACCTTCTGACTAATCGAGTTGCCAGTTTAACTACATTTGACAAAGAAATCATCAGCTCTCGACGTCTGTTTGGATGAGTGTCACACGTGCTGTTGATATGACGAATGGGATAATAAATTCTCGAAGTGTGCGGATTTTATTAATACGTGGATCTGTCGTTTGTTTTAAATAAACACAGGTAGCCACCGTTTCTACCTCACGCACTGTTTGTATACCCTCATACGGAATTAGTATTTGGGCTAGATTAATATCAGCACCTTCAACTATCGCTCGCCTAAGTTTTAGAGGAACATATTCTAATGTACCATCACCTGTATATAATGATGGTAACTCACCGATGTTATCATGAAATAGTAATAGATTAGTGAAAAGTATAAAAAGATTCTTACCAACAATTTGATCGTTACTTGCTGTGGCTGACGCTGATATCGTGATTGCTGGCAATAAACGTTCGCTAGCTAATATTGGAGTATCAGTAGTTAATATAATTGCTAAGGGAACGGACGGTGATGTTAATGAGGTTGATTGTGGTACATTTGTAATGTGCTGTGCCAAATCTGCTTCAAGAAACACTAAACAATAAGAAATAATGAAAGTTGTGGTCACGTTAAAATTTGCGCGCGATCGACAAAAACTATTTGAGCGCCCAAGATTTTTCATGGACCCATGTTAATATTTAAGCGTTAACTTTTATGTACGGAATCGACTTTGAAAACATATCAGAAAAGCTCAAATCATCGAGTGATCTGAGCTTATACCTACAGCCATTGGGATAATAGTAAAACATGCAGACACCCACAGACACCTACAGACAGTACATATGTAGCCACTGACAGCCACACAGACAGCAGTAGAGACATCTGCCGACAACCAAAAATAACTATACGGACATCCACTTCTATGTGGCTCCCATGTCCGTAAAAGTGAGTGTCTGTGTAGCTATTATTAATTGCTGCCTGTGTAGCTGTCAGTGCCTATCTCTGGATATCTGTGTGCTGTCTGTAAGGGTCTGTGGATATCCGTGGGTATCTTGATGTTTTAGTACCACCCATAGCAAGTGCACAGAAAGAATTTGCGCGGACACTGCGTAGTCGGTTTTGAACCTCAAAGTTTAATTCCCATCACACAGTGGGGAGCCAGGCGAACATATGCTAAAATATTCTTTTCTAGAATCTGACCGTTTGGGTAGATACATACATATGTGATCTATCATTTCCTAAAATAGCGGTTCTCAAAGTTTTACAGAGCCCTAGAAACGAGCCTGACAAGGCTTGGGGCCAGAAATCGGCATAAATGAAAAAAGTCAAGCCGCTCGGCAATATAACACAATATTACAGAAGCAAACAATATCGCAAAAACCTTGTTCACTTATGGACTTTATGATAAAAAAGTTATCGTAATCCAATAAAAAACAAAGTAGAAAACAAAGGATCGAGCTTCAAAACCTATCTGAAAACGTACCGTTCCGTATATTGTAAACGCTACAAAGGAGTAACGTCCAATCGAGCTTTTGATGTCCGATCGAGTTTTTGCTGCATGCTCCTACATATGTATGCTACTTATGGTAGATGCCAAAACTCATGAAACCTTTCCTAGGCTATTTTACAGAATGCCCAAAAACTCAAGGTCTCTAAGTGGGAAATCCAGCTTTAGGCACTCGTGTTACACTTTGAAGAAAAATCAAGGTGATTTTCGAAATCAGCTAGTCAAGCTGCATCGCACTACATATAAAAGTGTCATTTTCGTGAAAGTCAGTTTTGGCGAAAAATTGGTCAAAAGCAACTGGGAAACATTTTCCTATAGATGTTACTGCAATCTTTGCTTATTTTCAGTACCTGATATTACGAAACTAGTTAATGGTTTGGTTGGGAGAAGCTGAATGTCTAATGTGTGATCAAGACAGAAGGGCTGGAAAGATCTGCAGAAAATTTCCGATCCGGTTTACTTCAATATCAATCGTACAGCGAAAAAAACCCTTGAACTATATAATCAACTTGTCGATGATGATGGAAAAATTTTTAAGCATAAAAGCAATTATGAAACTCGTGCTGGTCTTACATCTGAACCATTATTCACAAGTGATCATCATTTCATTACAATTACACATCAATACATTAATGAAACTAACTGGATACTCAAAATTATGCACCATATGAAAGCTGGTATTTTAACATGGACAGTCCGAAACAAAGAACATCAGAAAAATATTAAACAAGCAAAAATATCAATCTTAAAAGAAATTCGAAAAAAAATTGGACTCAAACTGGATCAGTGTAATTTAGGCTCACGAGCAGCTGGAGGTACCAGTACTACCGGTGCGCAGGGCAGAAAAGTTTTCTCATACAAAATTCGTCATCTATTATTGACATATGTTCCTTTACAACATCAAGAAACACTTAAGCAATTGATTCAACATTATTCCATTATACTTAGAGCTGTCTCATCAACAAGATCAATAAATGTATCAAAATTTAAAGAATTAACATTAGGATTTTAGATAATAATAGCTAATCAAAAATGGATTGACTATCCTATAACTGTGCATAATCTTATTTTTCATTCAACTGAATTGATAGAACGGAATAACAGTGTTGCTTTACGCGAACTTTCAGAAGAAGTTCTCGATAGTTGTACTAAAGATTTGAGAAATTATCGTGAATTTTTATCAAGAAAATGCGGATACATAATGAATTTAACTGATGTTTTCAATCGTGTATTTATTCGCTCAGGTCCATTAATACGTAAAACCATCAAAGATCCGTTTTCAAAGCGCCAAACACGTGTGTCAGAAATAATAATAAAACCAGAAAATGAAGATGAACAATTATTAAACGATGTATTTTTATGAAAATAAGGTCATTCTAACTTTGTTTCTTCAGCAGTTAGGCTCATATTTTTTCTTTTAGTTTCTTATTTTGCTTTTTTAGAGAGTATTTGAAAAACATATCCTACTATTATGGTGAAACTATGACGAAAAAAATATATCAAACTTTTAAAAACTCCAAAAAACTCACAAAAACAAAAATTAAAAAAAGTATATATATTAAAACAAAAAAAATACTTATTTTATGTTTTCTTTCTTAGAATTCATGGCGGAAAGGCTTAATAACTATCGCTATTCGTTGTTGTTTATAATTGACAGATGAAACTGATCTGGAGCCGAAGTTAGATTAAACTTTGCTTTTATCTCAATCTGAAAAGTAGATGGAGAGTTTGTATCCACTGTATAAGCACATATGAGCTGATTCGAGTGGTACATGTAGCCAAAAGTTCCTTGCACGTGTGCAAGCTGATGCTCGAAAAACGAGAAAATATTAATAGCGTTTCAATTTTTTCCCTAATTTTAGATTAATAGATAGTTTGTGCTACGAGCGTTTTTGGCCTGAATATTTTATATCTAAATCTTTTGAAATAGATCAATGACTGGTATTCTTTCTGAGTGTAGACACTCATCTTGTTTTTCCAGCATCAGCTTGAACACTTGCAAGAGTTAAATCCGCGCACGCATTTGACCACAGATAGCTCACGTTCAGCTCATATGTGCTTATGCAGCGAATACAAGCTCTTCATCTAATTTTCAGACCGAGATATAAACAAAGCAAAATGTATTTCGTGCAGTTATCGTTTAAGCAGCTTTCAGGGCTTTTACAAGGAATCGTATAACTTGGAAACAATGCGCTCCTCAGCCAAACAAAATCTTTAGAGATGTCCTAACTGTACCTACGCTGCACAGTGGACCTTTAGCATAAGCAGGCGGACATGAGGCTTTTTAACTTAACTTTAACTTGTAGACTGCCACGGAAAAGTTTTTAGAGAAAATGTTTTCGGTTACTCGATGATAACTCTCGATGCACTCGTGACCTCTCTTTTTTGACAGCCAACAATGACTTACCTTGTTCATAGGTGGTAATATCGATTCGTTCTTCTTCGTTTACTTCAGTCACACATTGAACCTCGCCACAGACATCAGTCATAACGAACGTAAAAGTTAGTTAAAAATAATAAGTAAATTATATGGGAAAAATATTTAAGCGCACATATATTATTGTTTATTATATACGTAAAAATGTAAGTAAAAGAAACAAAAGTGTCTCTTTAAACTAAAAGAATCGAAAAGGGATCACTCAACATGTACATTGTAATTCTTTCCATTTCAAAATTCTATAATAAAAGTGAAAACAGTAGAACAAATAATCATATGTGTCATAGATGAATAAATAAGAAATGAATCACTCATGACTCGAATTTAAAACATCTGTTGTTCTCTACTTTTCTTCTGCCTCTGTTCACATGGTTGTTTTTTGATCTTTCTTCTGCTTACGAATAAACAGTCGTTAGACTTAAGCCATTTCTGTTTTACGTGTCTCGGAAGAGTTTTGTTTGCTCTCAAATGAAGTGATTTACTATTTTCTTTCTTGTGCAATGAAATATTTTTAGAAGAACGATGTAAAAGTTATTGATATAAATATTATACGATGTGAAGTCCAATGATCCATTTATTTTGCTAGAGCTTGTGACTACGAATGCCTTTAGGGTTGACTGGTGACTTGGAAATAAACCGATCAAAAGTCTGCGTCGTAGTAATCGTTTTCACTGCCATATCTCTGTGTTTGTAAAATGTTGATCATAGTTTACTGTCTTTCTCGTCACTTTTCGGAAGTTGACATTTATTTATTGCAATGCTTTCTTGAATCGCTTTTGTAATATATGTTTCTTCTCCTCTACCGAGTTCTGTACTGTTATCAAACTTCTACGTGTTTTACTTTACTACGAATTTTTTTATAATTATGTGGTGTTTTACTCTGCGTCTTTGCACTGGTAGACCCATTGAAGCATCAGTTAATAGCAAATAAATAAATATATATACAATGATCTTGAAAAGTAGTTTGTTTCCTTGTTTCTCTTTCATGTTCACACGAATGTTTTAATAAAAGAGAAGAACGTGCAAGAGACATCAAAGAAGAACAATGAAAAAATCAATCACGTTTCGGACATAAAATCATGTTCTACAC